ACTTCAACGTGGACGTGTTCGGAACCAGATGGACCCGAGTGAGGTGCGACAATAGAGGCTTCACATTAGCTGGCACTTGCGTGGCGGAGAGCTAGGTTTCGATGGCTGGCTGTTCTTGCAAGACGAACTTCCAGTTCGGCGGCGGCTGATCGCGAATCTTGTCAACGTTGATGTGCATCAGTAAGTGTCCGACCGTTTCGAGGCGCGGTGTTGGATCAAGGTCCACTACTGCGCTGTACGTCCACGTGCCTGATATCGATTTCTCTAGGAGAGTGGCAAGGTCCACCTCCGACAATGGGTGAAAGCCGACATCCCGCTTGCGAGACGTTCGCTTGTTCCCGCCCACTGCCGAAGCGTAGCTCCGAGGCTCAGTGGTTGGTGTCGGTGTCGCGGTAGTAGCCTGTTCGGGTTTGTTTGCTTGTTGCCGCGCTGCTTTGGCCGCCTTCTTGGAGACCTTGGCTGCTTCCCGAGGCGTTGGCCACGGTTCTTGCGATGGCGCGGTTCTATCGCATTCGTCGTCAGCTTCGTCATATTCCATCTTAGTGTCGTCTTCGTCGTCGTCGTCGTCGTCGGCTTCGTTCGTCGTGTTGCGAGGTTCCGACGTTTTCGTGGCGTCGTCGTCGTCGTCGCTACTGGACTCAGCTGCGCTGTTGCCGTCGTAACCGCTGTCGCTATCGCTGTCGACTTCCATTCCAGCGTTATTGACTTGCGTCGAGCTGGAGGGGTCTTCTGCCGGCGGCGCGCCGGTGTGGACAGGGATAGCGTTGTTGGGCAGAAAATTGGCGAGGGCAGTCATCTTGTTGGCTTGGACTGGCTTGTATAGTGGAAGCAGAACAAGACAGCTTGGCCGAGCGGTTAAGGCGATAGACTCGAAATCTATTGGGGAAACCCTCGTGAGTTCAAATCTCACAGCTGTCGGTCTTTTGTCACAACAACAGCAAAGACTTAGTGTGTGGGTTTGTGCAAAGCAACAGAAACATTCCTGCAAAGAATGTGGGTGCTGCGCCACTTCACAACAATATGTCTTTTTCTGTCATTATGGGCAATCCGGTCGTATTGTTTGATGGTTAATACATAGTAGTGCACAGTGTAGTGTCTCGTGGAGACGGCTCACAAATAACACCAATGAGGGGAGGCGCAATCTCCCGGAAGTCAGCGCAAGCTTTGTTAGCGATCAGTCCTTTTTTGGTGGGGGGCTTAACAGCATGTGAGAGTGAGAGTGAGAAATCGAAGACTGCCCATCAACTTGCTGGGTCCAGGACATTGGAGACACGTCCGGACTGCCGCGGGTGGCCAGCCCGACGTCAGCCGTCCTGGGGATGGTGCACGATGCACCGCTTGCTCGTTCTGTGCTTGGCCCGAAGGTGAGACAGACACATGTTATGCGTCAGTCACATACTTCCTTGACGAACAATCTTTGGGAATAACACTTCCACCTTCAGAACCAATACTTTCATAATTTCAGCCCATCGCATTTTTCCAAAGTTGTGACTTGAACTGATTTTGTGAGAATACATAGGACTTTTTAGATGTGAGGAAACTCAGCACTCCAATCCATGCATGAAAAGCAGGCAGATTTCGGGTTTTCGCCTTCTTTTTGGGTTATATATTGACAATGCAAAACATCCAAACGCGCTGTTGCTGAAGTACCTTCAGAGGAACCATCACCTACAGCCACACAGACGGGTCTTCGGTCGAAGCCATGCGAGCAGGCCCGGCGCGTTGGGGAGTCGACCAAGTTTTGATCAATTGCGGTGTGGGCCTACTCGAAAAGCTGACCGGCTCCAGCGATCGGTTGTGAGCAAAGAGCGGTTGAAGATGCTTCGTCGCACAGTTGGTTGACAACGCATTGGACGAGTACTCGTCCGTGGCAATCAAGTCGCGGAGCTTGGCTTCGAAGCGTACTTGGTACGGGTACGGCTCGATAGCGGAAAGACCGCGGGGATCCTTGCCCCGGAGCCAAATCTTCGCCCACCGTTCCATGCGTTTTTGAAAGTTCCACGTTTGCAAAATGTCAATCACACCCACATAGTACAGCCCAGGACCGGAAATCGAGTCGCACAAGTGCGGGTTTTCAACTCCTAGCCGTGCAAATACATGTATCACCACAACAGAATCCCCAACTCCAGACCCATCACCGCACCTGCATCCGACTTGTCCACCTTATACTGGACGTCGACAACGCCAATCAAGAGCGAATAGTCCATAATGCCTTGATCTCGCAAGAACACAGAGTCTCGCTTGAGTTGGTCGAGCAATGCCCGCCCTAGGCACGACCATCGCAAGTCGACACTTTCGATCTCGCGGAGATGATTACCTTCAGCTGCGCCGAGGCGGAGGCGGTAGTGGATGTCGTCGTCCTTGAGTACAACGTTGGGCTCGTGGGGTCCTGCCAAGTTAGGGCAAGTCTATCCAACGAAGGTAAGTTTCGAAATCCCACGACAGACGGGACCTGTTGTTTGCCGGCGTTCGAGTGGTAGACAAACTGCATCGAGCAGTACCGGCACTTGACCTTGGCGCCGTCACTATTTCCCCGAGCGAACACATTCAAGCCCCCTTGCAACGAGGTCGCCAACGAACAAAGACGTTCTCACCGGGGGTTATCGTAGCTCCGATTGACCCAGCTGCCCTTGATGTCGTATCGGTGATGAATCTCTGGGGCGTTCGCAAACAGGTTTTCCATCACGACAAAGTAGAACTTGTTCCCGTGAAGAGTAATCTTGAAACATCCAAAGAACCGCGTGAGTTTCGTGTGGGGCTGCGACAGCATGTAGTTGCGGTAATCTGGCGCGATCTTGACCAGGAACCACGCCTCCGCCTCGACCATGCTCTTGACGATAAACCGCATGTCTTTGCTGAAAAACATGAACGCGCCGCTCGCGCCTTCGCTGATGCTAGGCTTGGTTGCTTCTTCGAACGACGCGACAAAGTCGTCGGTCTTGAGTTGGAAATGCGAACGCAGCGAGGCAAATGTGCTCTACTCGTCGAGCGATGAGTGCAGTCCGTTTTACAACGACGTCGTCGTACAGGGCGATAGTTTACAAAGTGCACCGAGCGCTTGGCCGGCGGCAACGGCGTTTTCACGCCTTTCTTTTGCACACGTGCTTTCGTCTGAGGCATCGTGTCCACAACTGTCAGGCGCATGCTGCTCATTGACGTCGCCGAGTCGATCGAGAGGCGTGGTGCGGGACGTTGCCCGTTGGCGTCCTCGGTCGCGGCCGCCGCAACTATCTCGTCTGACTCATAGATTGCGCGAAGCATGCCTCGCACCGTGTACTCGAGCAAATCGCTTTGGAGCGATGTGTTGAGCTGCGCCGAAATGTTCGTGTCGATGCCATCTTCCGAGAAATCGAGCCACTTGGTCGTTATCAATTGGGGCGAATTGATCACAAACCACAAAAAATACCTACCACGACATGCCAGCATGACGAGTGCGTGGTCAAGACAGCCAACGTACGTGACAATGCCGCGACCTGCCAAGACGTAACAGTACAGCTTGAACACAGGATCCATGCGAAGTTGATGCGGCGTCGCGCCCCCATTGTACGACGACGCATACAGCGAAAACCCAACCGTCCAGTACACGGTGTAGCTGACGATGCTTAACGCGCCATCACGCAGCATCCCTGTAATCGTGGGCAATTCGTCAACACGAACGCACCCAGCGCTCTCGTACCCTTGCGAGTCTCCATGGTCTTGTTCAGCCCCATGCGAAGGCGCGAGAAGCTCGACCCCAGGACAAAGAACGCAAATGCATAAAAGAGCACCATCCAGCTGAAGAACGCAACCCACGTTGATATGTTGAACGAAAAAAAGTCGTTGGCCTCGGTGTGGTTGGCCAACTTGTCGTAGCTACATCGTCGCAGGTCAGCTAGGCGGTGGTTCAGAAGAGCTAATGAGTCTACCGCTTTGCATAGGTCCAGCAAAAATTCCCCTCGGCAAACCCAAACAGCCCTTGCTTGGACGACACCACGGCCGACAAACCAATCGCAAACAAGGAAACGCCTCGAACGTATATGCGGCGGTTGCGCTTGACACTGGTGAATGGGTTGTTCAGAGACAAGTACAAATCGAGCTACAAAATCGACCGGGTTACGTGTGATGAGGGATGCTCCGTACCGTGAGTACAAAAAACCAAGCGTCTGCAGACAAGAAAAGGAATTCTGTGATCGCCGACAAGTACCGACACGAGGCGACGTTGTCGACTTGGTAAATTCCCCAGTAGATCCACAACGGGTCGAAGAGGAACCGAATCGACAGAATGAGGTCCATAATCGCTCGGTAGTACAGCAACGGATTCGGGTGGCGCTGAAACGCGTGGACACCATGAAACGTGATGATCACGACACAGCTCGTCACAAACGTTTGAGCCGATCCCATGACGAGGCCAGGATTGATCTCGTGCCTGCAAAAGAGCGACTTTTAAGGTGGGAGGACTTGCAATGGTGCAGGAATATGCTCACCCTTCGATGTCAGTGACCAAGTACGCCGTGATGAACGTTCCAATCGTGATGGAAGTACCGAACAGCCAGAGCCAAAAACTGGGCCACGTCAACTTGAAGCTAATGCCGTCAAAGACAACGGAGCGCAGCGATTGAATGTTCCCTGCGTCGTCCGATTCGGACATGTCGAACGTCTTGAGGTGCTGGTCGTCAACCAGGATGTCGTTCTTGCGGCCGAAAAAGCTGCTCCGCTGAGAGGATGACAATGATACGCTTTTGCGTGACGACGTACGCGATGCATTACGAGAGGAAGGCGCCGAGATCGGCTCCGCAGCGCTGATGGTGAATTGCGGTGGTTCCATCTTGACACCTGGTGGCAGGGCGTCGAAGAATTGTGCTCGATCTGGCGACAGTCTGTGGTTGGCTAGTTTCAGTGACGCGCTCGTATTACAAGGCAAATAGTGAAGTCCAGTAAAAAAGTTCATTTTTATCCAACTGCGAGGAAAAGCGAATATTTTGGGTCACATCACAAGCATCGTTTTATGATAAGAATTCGACAGCTGTGAGATTTGAACTCACGAGGGTTTCCCCAATAGATTTCGAGTCTATCGCCTTAACCGCTCGGCCAAGCTGTCTTGTAACTCTTCAGTCGAAGTGAATGTACCAGTCGTACGAACCAAATCACAATTGAATTCTCAACCCTCACAGTAGACCTCCGTATCGAAAATTGATTTCGAGCCGAAAGAGTCAAATATTTTTGGAAGTCTGATCAAATACGTTATCTTGAGATAACGTATGCTCTCATTTATCAGCCGAGTCACCCAATTGAATCGCAAGAATCGTGTGATTGGATGAAATATACTAACGTCGGCTCTCAGCGACCGGCCGAACATTCAGCGATCAGCCGAGCTCTATCACCCAATAGAATCGCAAGAAATTTGTGATTGGATAAAATTCGTACTCCAACAACTAAATCCCTTATAATTTTATGGTGGGAATATACATTAGACCTCTTGTTCAATGACTTAGTTTCAAGTCCGAACGTGGAAAGAGATCATCGATTGAAGGATTGACAAAAATTAACGTATTTGTTCATTTAATATAAATATATTCCTGCGATTGAATGAAGTTGTTGTCGATTGTCAAACTGATCAATTGGTCTTTCACAAAAAGCATATGTTTTTCATCGATACGGTAGGTTTGTTTTATACTACCTCCATCCAGAAATAAATGCTCCAATCAAACTATTTGCGAATTGAAGACCAAATTTTTTGAAGTTTTCAAATCCAAAACCATCCGGTTGACGAGCAAGAGGTGATAAACACCAATCAAGGCGATTCGCACCAAAATTCCACCAATCACAAGAGATACGTGTGATACAAATTCAATACAAGAAGCAAGATAAAATGGATGATAGCATCAACAAATCCGTTATCCGGACATCCGGTT